CCGTGGTTATTTATGTATTTAGGTTTTGGCACTAGTGGTTCAAAGGGGAAGGACATAGGTTGAGTTGACACCTTTCAATAAAGCCTTTATAAGAATTTGGTGTAATGAAATTGTAGATTATAATTATGAACTTGTGTATAAGTTGCCATAGAATTCAGTATATGTGCATATAATTGTGATTGTGGCATGTATACGTGTAATTAGTAAAATAATTAAGTAGCCTAGTAGATGAATGTGAATATGTGTGAATATGGGGTGCACCTCAATAGGCATTAAGAAAATAATCTCCAACATCGCACCTCAATAGGTACTAAGGAGATATAATTCTCCAACACCGCACCCTATCGGGCATTAAGGAGAATAATGCCATATGGTCTTTCTTTACAACTCTACAAGAGTAAACTCCTACCCCTATGATCATGCTTTCCAAACCAATCATAGGTTCCCAATTACCACCATACACATACGTATATATATATATATATAATTACATAATTTTACATGTTTATTTAATTAAAGTTTATTTCCATGCCATAACCATGAAATAACACAAAACACGCTCATGTTAAATAATTTCACGCAATAGATAGCATATTTACACACAGTTACAATAAATAGTCAAACATAAGAAGTTATTCGGTTACCTCAACTCTCCTGTCACAAAAAAGGTTACCTGTAGATTTCAACTACCACTAAAGCTCTCCACAAGCTTCCTTCCACAACTTACACCTAAAATATACCAACTACACACAATTGGCATTATTAGTCAATTGATTTAATTGATCAAAAATACTAAATTACTACTACAAATCACCTTTAACCATTCATTCACTTCTACTTATTCAATTTAAGTCTATCACCACTCAATTGCCACATCCAATCTCTTCTCACAACTTCACTTTACCCCAAAACCATTTCCACCCCTATTTCCATTGAATTAGGGCCAAATTTGAGTTTATAGGTTCAAAGTTCTATTGTTTGACTCTAAACTAGTCACAAAACTCTAATTTAACTCCTGAGAACCTTTTTATTACTATAGGGTAAGAAACAAGCACCTTGAATTTCCTCGATTCAATTTTTTTATAACTTATACTAAGAGAAATTATAGTAAAATTAGATGCAAGGGTGGTACAAAGATTATTCGATAAGTCACTGGTCAGAAATCTCTTTAAAGGTCCCAAGAATGCCTGCCCTAGCTAAGATCTCTCCCTTCTCCTCTCTTTCTTTTATGTTTACCTTCCCTTACTCTCTAAATTCACAAACTATCTATGCACTTATTCTGTGCCATATGCTCTGGCATAAGCAGTGTAACATCCTGAATTTCTTAATCCTAAGTTTAGAGATTAATTGAGCATGAAGTAGAAATTAAAGTGGGATTAAAGATTCAGAGGATTAATTAGTATTTGGACTTGTTTATGTGTTATATGTGCAGATATGGGTGATTGAAGTGCGTTTTGGGTCAAAACAAGTGCGCATGGTGAGAATGAATCTCACTGTGGCAGGCGTCATGGCTTGTGCTATATGCGTCGCGATGCATGGACTAGAAATTGCCTTTATAAGTCATGAATTTTAGAAAATTTCAGAGGAAAGAAATTGAGAAACACATGAAACAAAGAGAGAAGAAGGGCTGAGAAGAGAGGTTAAGTCATTTTGGAGTAGTGGAAGGTGATTTCGATTGGTAACTTGCCAGGTAAGCTATGTATAACTCTTACCTTCCATTATAAACAAATTTCTCTGAAAATGAGTTATAGGGAAATTGAATTGGTGGAATTTAAGGGGTTTGATTCTTGCCCAATAGTAATAAAAAGGTTCTCAAAAGTTAAATTAGAGCTTTGTGACTGGTTTAAAGCTGAACGGTAGAGCTTTGAACCTGAAGGCTCAATTTTAGCCTTTAGAGAGAGAAAGTTAGGGCAACATTTATCTTGAGTGAAATAAGACCGATTGAGGTGATGTAAAGTAGTAATTGGGTAGTTATGGACTTAGAATGGATAAATGAAAAAGAGTTTACAGATGAATATCTAAATAGTAAAAATGAGTTTTTGGTCAAAATGAACCAAATGACTAAAATGTGCCAAATGTGTTCAGATTGGCATATTGGATGAGTAAGTAGAGAAAGGAAGCTTGAGATAAGTTTGTATGATAGTGGAAATCTACTGGTAACCTTTTTAGTAATAAAAGGGTTTAGGTAACTGAATAACTTCCTTTGTTTGATAGTTTATTATAACTGTATGTTAGTAGGCTATGTAATGCATGAACTAGTTTTGAATTGAGCATGTTTTGTGGCATTGAGTGATTGTGTGTGTAAGATGACTTTTGGTTGAAATAGGCATTGAAATTGTGTTTTGTAATGTAAAGTGCTATATATATATATATATATGTTATGTATAAGAAAAAGTAAATTGTGAAAAGGAAACCTTAAATAGTTCGAGAAAGCATGATCTGAGCGGTAGGAGTTCACCCAAGTATAGGAGATCATAAAGACCATATGATAAGGTTTCCTTAGTACCCTGTTAGGGTGCAATGTTGGAAACAATTCTCCTTAGTACCTTGAAAGGTGCTATGTTAGAGAAGATCTCCTGAGTGCTGATTAAAGTATTATGTTGGAGATGAGAGATTTCTTAGTATCTTTGTGATATGGGTGGGAGTCAACGATGCCCCATTATGTGTATTGAGAGAAAATCATAGTCCGTATTGTGCGTTAGAACATCTTTGGCCGGGTGATTCTACCACTGCAAGTGAGTTTAAGACTAATGAGAGTGTACATTGGTTTGAGATGAGCCTATGGTTTCATGTCAGGGTGATTTGGAGGTTTGGCTAGTAGAGATCATGCTAATATTTTATGATATGATGAAATATCTTGAGATAGCATGGAATCCTTCGGGATTGATGAAAAGTGGAAATGAAATGTGATATAATGTAAATACTGCTTTATGAAGTTTTAATGGTATACTATGTTTACTTTCATATTGTTGTATGTGATAGTCAATAGGAATAAGTTATTCTGTTACTGAGATTTTTATCTCACCCCTATGGTTATATGTTTACAAGAGCAGGAAGTGATCAGGCCAAGGGAAGAGAGTTTGGACTAGCTTGAGTTGAGAAGCCGTGTACTCTAAGGTTGTGTAATGAACTGAAGTGAAAGATTGTATATGAGCTGAAGTGTATATGAGCTGCCATAGGTTGCATGCATGTATTGAATTGAGTTTTTGTGAAATCAAGTCCGATTATATGTATATGTATTGTTTGAGACAAAGGGGCTTTGATTTGAGTATGTTTGCATTGCAATGGTTATATGATTAGTGAATCTTAAGCCAAAGAACAAATTATGAGGAAATGAGTAATATAGGGATTAAGATTGTATTATGAATTGTGATTTCATATGTATGTTGAGAAATAGCCGAGTGGGCTGAGTTGTGGCAAGAGATGGCATAGCATGTTAAGTTAGTGAATTATAGAAATTGGCCGTAGAAGTGTTAAATTTTGATATATGAGTATGATTGTGATAAATTATAGTCAATCAAGTATATTAGATATTTTTGGACTTGGTTCAAGGCCTAGTGTGGTCTAATGAGAGTAAGGGATCGATTTGAGCGCTTGGGTGGGGAACAAGCTCTTACAGTCATTTTCTTATCAAATGACTTCATTGTTTCTTACTTTTCTATTCATTTGCATTGGTGGCATTCAGAAGCTTCACTCATCTAGAGTTATAGGAATATCCGGAACTAAAAGAACTATGGTTTGGCCCAATTGGGCAGAAAATATTCTGTAATTTGAAGCGTTTGGTGGTGCATAAATGTACATTCTTGTCCAACATAATTTTTTCATCAAATTTATTGCAATTGCTATATACATTGGAAGAAGTGGAAGTAACAGAGTGTGATTCATTAGAGGCAGTATTTGATGTAAAAGCAGTGGATGACAAAGTAATGGAATCAAAGGAAGCTAGTCGGTTGAAAAAATTAACACTCTCGGGGCTTCCAAATTTGAAACAAATATGGAACAGAGAAACTGCAGAAGTAATCAGCTTTGGACATTTACAGGTTTTGAAAGTTGATAAATGCCAACAGCTGAAAAAATTGTTTTTTGTCTCGCTATGCCGAGACTTAAGGCATCTTGAAGAGTTGAACATTTGAGTCTGGTGGTGTTGAGAAGATTGTTTCAATTGAAGAAGGATTAGAGGAATTCAAGATTGAATTTCCTCGGTTAACACTCTTGACGCTAATTCAGTTGACGCAACTCACAGCTTTCTATCCAAAAAGATATACTCTAGAGTGTCCTTCATTGAAGAAGTTAAATGTTCGTGGATGTGAAGAATTGCAAATATTTGCATTTCACCATTTGAATTCCCAACCGTTCAGAAAGGTTGATGCTGAGTCACAAAATGAACTAGCTTTGTTTTGTATTGAAAAGGTATGCACCCTCTTTTCTATTTCTTTAATATATCTTTCTTTAATAATTAATTCTTTTAAAAAGAAAAAGATGGCTGAGGTAAACTAATTATGAACATGTATGTACTATAACTATACATCCGGTTTTCAAAGAAATTAGTTTTTTTAACTTAGTCGATTATAGGATGAAATTTCTTATTATATTTTGTCCTTTCAGGCATCCCAAAATTTGGAAGAGTTGTCATTAAATGAAAGGGATGCTATGAGGGTATTGAATGGCATTTATAAGAAAAATCTTTTTCAAAGCATACGAATACTTCGTTTGCAATATTTTCAGGAAACTCCAATAAAGTTTTTAAATAATTTGATTGAAACATTCCCTTCTACAATGACATTTCAAGCACGTTGCAGTTCCTTTAAAACATTCTTTTCTGCAGAAGGAATTGGTTGTTGCAATATTTAAGACCTCACCCACATTGAAAAATTGTGGCGTTTTCAATTAGAGCAACTTGAGCATATATGGTTCGATGACTCAATGACACATCCCGTTGTTCAAAACCTCGAAGATCTCAGGGTAACAGAATGTCCTTGGTTAAAAAGATTGGCACCACCTTCAACATCTTTCAAAAATTTGACAAACTTGAAAGTGAAGGATTGCAATGGGTTGATATAGTTCATGACATCTTTCACTGCTAAAAGTCTTGTCCATCTGACACGGTTGCTAGCTAAAAATTGTGAGATGCTAGAGGAGATTGTGATGACGAGTGAAGGAGAATCAGAAGAAGTAATCACATTTGAAAGCTTGAAGTATTTGGAACTAACTTGTTTATCAAGCTTTAAAAGCTTTTGCTCTGGAAAACACACCTTCATATTCTCATCTTTGGCGACATTAAAAGTAATGGGATGCCATAAAATGCAAAGTTTCTCATCTGGAGTCGCAACTGTCCCATTTCTGAAAATGGTGGAGGTGGAAAATGGAAAGAAACACTGGAAAGAGGACCTCAATACCACCATCGAGCATTTGTTCAAAGACAAAGTACGTATGTCAAAGTAAATTCAAAAATTTTTGTTTCTTTTAATCTTATTGTTATTAATGTATGTGTTTTTTATTTTCACTTTTTGGGGATTAAATCTGCAAGTTTATTTTGATCCTCCATTTTGAAAAACTACAAAGTAATACTATGATATTTGTTTGCCTCAGGAAATTGGAGGACTTCATGTTGACCGCAAGGAATCTTCAAGTAAAAATATTGAAAGGAGTCAAACGCATCAAATGAGTGCGAGCACTAGCAGAGCATTGCGCGCCAAAGAGTTGGGAGCACAATCAAAGGCGGATGAGATTGTTGATTCAGAGAAGCCAGAAATACACAAACTTCGTTTACAGATACAGGTATTAATTGAGATTGTCTTGCATTCTTCTGTCAGACAAAGCATAAATAATGTGATGCACCGGTTTCATTTAAGAATTTCTCCTAATAGCCTAGTTTTTACTCTCAAGTTGAACTTATTTTAGTTGGTTGAGGAATGAAGTTATTTAAATTGACTACTATATATACTTTAACATATGATCAATAATCAAATAAGTAACAATATTTTGTGTAATTTATTTATTTGTTATCGCTATACATTAATTGCATTGGTTGGATCGATTGGATCGATTGTATTAAGATCACTTAATTGTTCTATAAGTAGTAAATGAATAATTTATAACTAAAATGTTTTATGAACCAAATAAAAACAGTCTAATATTTAATATTCATTGAGTCATATATCTCGTTTAGTATATTTAAATATTAATTAATTTTTTTCCATTAAGCGGAATGTGTTATGAGACTTTGTTATCAATTTCCTTAGCTTTGTTAATGTCCTCTCCTGAAATAATTCCAATTTTATGGTAAGAATTGAAATGACTTGAGAAAACAACATAATATAACAAAAACTTCTCTCGATTAATGATGACAATTTGTTCAATCAAATAATCAGTTTTATTATTTTTGACACGGAACACTAATGAATTGATGAATGTCTTTCGATTTAACAAGGAAAAAATTATTTTTTTTTTTTTCGTTGCACAACAACATCATGTCATGCTATATTTATTTAGGTATTGATACACAAAATACGCGCGAAATGCCCCTGGAACAGGCCAGTCAAAACATATCAAGTCCTACAAAAGATGCAGGTATTAATGATCTCCATTCCAAAATGTTTTTTATTGATGACAACAACAATAGTAATTTTTCTTTTTAAGTAAATTCCTATTTAATTTGGCCAAACTTTGTCATCTTTTTTATTTTATTTTATTTTTTTTGAAAAATTTTTGTTCAGCTATTGGGATTGAAGAGATGAATGAGACCATTCAAACACCACTAGCTGAAGCTGTTGAAAGCACATTAAGTCATACCTCAGTTCAGGAATCAGGTAATAGTGATCTTATTTTGTGGTTCCAATTTGCCACAAATGATATTGAAGTTTTTTATGCATGACTCTTCTCTATACTATTTGACATAATTTGTGACTTTAATTCCTTGTTATGCGCGTTCAAATATTCTAAAAACCAATCGTGTCCCCAAAAATGTTCTATTAAGGGTTTATTCAACCAAATCATTGCCTATATCTTCCTAACCATATAGAAATTAAAGTAATTAATGCATGACACTACTGTCGAATAGCACAAAAATTAATAAGAACTAGATTTTATAGCAAAACGCAACCTAGATCGTCTCCCTAAGAATCAATAGAGTAACTATTTGAATTATGATTATGAAAAGGTAAATAATGGGGGATTTTTTATGATGAAATTAAAACTAAATTAGAATTAAATAAATAGAGGAAATTCAACTAAGAAAATTATCAAGCACAAGCAGCGTAATCAATCATGACCCAATCACCTACATTTAATCTTCCTCGTCCACAAAATATATCAATTTTATTTAACTTTATTATTCTAGTTTTATTATTTATTTCTCAAATTATCATTCAAGAATTAAACAAGAAATTAAGTTATAGATTAATTGACATTTCTTTTAACCCACAACCTAACAACTGTTCCATATTAACCACACTAGAAGCAAAGCATGGATAATCACCCAAACTAGGCCAAATTACTCTTACAATGCTATATCAATCGATTATAATAAGCAAAATCTCATATAAAATTTATAATCCAAAAATTATGCAATAAAGCTACTCTAATCAGCAACAGCAGTTAAAGTATAAAATTTAGAGGAAGGGAGAAGAAGAACAAATTGAAATAATTCTAAAATAAAATTTTTCCTAAATATTAGAGACTCTGACTAAAGTTTAAAATCATGATTTGTAATTGATCACGCTAAAAATTTAGCTCTCCATAAAAACTAAAAACAAAACAGCAACGTCGCCTCTGATTCTTTAGTTTCTCTCATACCCCTCGTGCTATGCATTGCTTCCTTTATATATACAAAAGTGATGCAATTTCGTACGGCCAAAGAAAAGCTAATAATAAAATGATAAAACTACTCTAAATAATCCTAATTGAAAACTATACTAAATAACCCAAAATAAATTTAAACAAAATTTTAAAAATTTAATTCTTGATTTGATCTCCAAACATGCCTGTATTCTTCTTATCCAAAATAATCTTTATTGATATCTTTTAAATTAAATCTAAAAAATATGCACAAATAAAATAAAATTAAATAGCAATTGTGCACAAATATTAAAGATATCATTTATATTTTAAAATCATAAATTTAGATAGTTAAAATTCTAAAACTAAATATTAGCTAATAAAATCAAATAATATATAATTAAACTCAATTAGTCTCAAATAAATTTTTAAAATTCTAAATTAAAAGGATAAAAATATATAAAATTATCATTTATTAATTCCCTACACTTGAACTTTTACACTCCTGGGCAAAACTTAAATCTTAAATTTCAAGAAAAGAAGTTTGGAAGCAAAAAAGAATAAGAAACAATTATAGCTCTTCAACATTTTAGCACTCTAATCAATATATTTTATATCCAAAATAACAAGTATCATGGCAATTTTATTTGGTAAGAATAAATCAAGCAATAGCTCCTCATAAAGGTCAGGTGTTTAACTCTTAACTTTCAAATGTATATAGGTAAGTATTTTACTTAAGTTTTCCTATCAAAACCTCACTACTATGGGCTTGTTTTTTGTCTAGGTCCCACTATCTAGGTCACATGCAATGCAAGAATTAAAAGGACTTTATTTTAAGTTGTAATGGAATTTAGGTAAAGGTATGGTATAAAAAAACGAAGGCTAATAAACTTTAAGAGAATGAAAAGCATATTTGAAATGAAACATATAGAATGAAAAAAAACAAAATAAATTGATTTAGGTTTATTTTTCTCTCTTTGTTTTGTTTTCATTTCCCTTACCTCATGCACCTTTTTTTTCTTTCTTTTTTTTTTTACTTTTTTTCCTTTTATGCTCTTTCTTTTCTTTTTTTCTTCCTTCCTTCCTTTCTTTCTTTGCTTTTCAGCTCTCTCTTGTTTTTTTTTTAAATAACCCAAATCTCTTTTTAAGCATATTCTTTCATTCTAACAAATATTATGATACACTTTTCATTACCTAAAGTGGGGTGAGAAAAATGAAAGGAAAAGATTTTTATAGGTTATGTTTTCAGTTAGCTAAAATTTTAAAGAAAAGGTCTAGGCTTAAAGAGGTTAACAAGAAATAAATTGCATGGGCTGGCTATTTGGCTAAATAGGTTAAAAGAAAAGAATGTCTAAATCATCTTTATGCAAAGTATATGCAATTATAGTCTCAACTAAGAATTAAGACAAGTTTTAAAGTGAGAGTATTGATAGAAGAATGCACATAAGAAGATAATAATATTAGGCCTAAATCCTCACAAGCTAAAAACTATCGCATTAATCCATTGAAACCAAATTTATTACCATTTAACTTGAATTTCAAATATAAGATCAATTACTTATCATGTTTAAATGTATGCAAACTAAAATTGTCTTAAACTCACAACTTCACACAAAAAAAAAAAACTAAAAGTATTAAAAAAGAGTAAGAAAACACCAACTTTTTTTAAACAAACTTTTCAAAATAAAGACAAATCCCTTCCTCTACACTTAAATCTTGCATTATCCTCAATGCAACTTAATTTAGAACAATTTAATCAATCTACGAATAAAATATAAAATACAAGGTAAAAGTGAAAGAAAAAGAGACAACTATATAATTTAAATCTCTGTAAGCTCTTAAAGTTGAAATTCTCATCTCTAATAGAAAATAGATGCTTGTTCAAAACATTTTTCTCTTTAAGCTCATAAAAAGCTCCTCTAGGCGGTGGCTTTGGATCAATTGGCAGAAGATCTAAAATGTATTGAAAATGATGAGCCAAGCCCTCTCTATACATGAAACAACCAATAAAATTGAGTAGATTCTCATCAATGAGAATTAAAGCTTGTGTAAAAGGAGCCATCAGTACCTTCCCTTTATCTAGTTGAAGGTTTCATAACAATATCTCCATTGAAGATGGCCTCAATGTAGTAAAAGAAATTTTTTTTAATCATAGGTACCTGTTCATGAAGCTCAATAGAAATAACAAAATCCTCCACACAAGCACTATTAGACTCAAAATGCATAATATAATTAATAATCTCATAAATCTTAGTGCTATCAACACCATTAGAAAAGGTCACAGGGATCACAAAATTAATGCTATTTATGCGACCAATTGAATGCACGATCTCATAAGTATCATCATAATTAGAAGAGTTAACACAGATAGATGAGCTAATAGCCTTAGTAGAATCAATATAGTCAAGTGGATCATTACACTCAATGGAGTAAATGGAAACAAAAGGATCTAAAGAATCATCAGAGTTTATGAATTCATTTATTTTAACATAGGCAGAGCAGTTAGATGTATAATGCATAATGTTTTTATAATTCACCATATTAGGCAACTCAAGAATCAAATCATCCCAAGTCTCATCACATTGTTCATTCATGAATGAAAGATAATCATATTGAGTTTCCTTACTAAGATCATCATTAATGCAAGATAAAATGTGCTCTTTAAGCATAACATCCTCTTGAGAACTCTTACTACCTATATTCACTTTAATCTCACAATTACCCTCACATTTATTCTCAATTATAGGTAACTTCTTTAACTTATCATCTTCCAAACAATTTGAAAATTCAGTTCTATTAATAGTTAGAGGCTCAATACTAGAAGCAGATAAGTCAAAGGAAGAATAATGTAAACATTCATCAATATTAACACAATCAATACGTGGCTCAACATTCTTAGACTCAATTGTCTCAAGGCACTCTAAATCAATGTTATCACAAACATCATCAAATGTAAAATATATCATGCCATTAGAAACAATAATATCAGGTAGTGCAAGATTCCTAACATATTCAATAAATTCTTTAAACCAAGAAGGGTCAATAGAATTAGGAAGGGATATATCAATCTCAGCACCACTCTTGCATGCACCTAATTCATTAGTATTACTAGAACATGGTTTAGTGATTTTAGACTCACCACAGTTAGGAAATTTAACAATAATGTCCTCATCTATATCATTATCAAGTGAAGAGTCCTCCTGCGCTTGTTCTATTAGGGAACATATTTGATCTACTATTTTCTGTGTCTCAAGACATTGATGTAGAAATTGTTGACTACTCTATTGAGGATTCTAAAATTGTGTGCTATTCTCCAATATCTGCTTCCTCATAACTTCAAAGTTACTCCCCTTACTAGACTCCTCAAGTATTGGGATGGGTTGGCTTACAGGTTGTATAGATTGTGTAGTCTCAAACAAATCATTAGCTTGCATATAAGGGTATTGTTGAACAAAAGTTGAGGTACTCTCATAAGGATAGGTGTGGAAGTGATGGTGTGGATGGTAGTATGACCATTGCTCATTATATGTCGGAGAACTCTTAAAGGGGTAATAGTGAGGATGGTAAGGAGACAATTCAAGTGGTTGTGCCATTGCCTGTTCACCAAGCATTTGTTTAGTAGTATAGGTCAACTCATCAATTTTCCCTTTAAAATTATGAGTATCATGATAAGGCATGGATGGAGAAAAATTAATATCAAAGTGATAACCATTCCAAGCCATCTCTACAACCAAAATAAAATCACTCAAACTAAAGGAAGATAAAGGGAAACACAAAGTCCTCTCAAGTATATGATCAAAATAATAATTTTTTTTTGTGTGGACCCTATCCTCACTAAAATAAAAAAAAATAAACTACCCTAAAAAAAGTAACAAAAAAAATCAAAAAATTAAATCTGGGAAAAAAATGAAAAATAACCTAAAATTTAAAAAAAATGAAAATAGCACAAAAAAATTCTAGAAAATTTAAAAAATGAGAAAAAATGAAAAAAGAAAAAAAAATTAACAATCAGATCCAAAAAGTTAACATCTTTGATTCCCCGACAACGGCGCCAAAATTTTGACACTACTATCAAATAACACTAAAATTAATAAAAACTAGATTTTATAGTAAAGCGTAACTAGAATCGTCTCTCTAAGAGTCAATAGAGTAACTATTTGAATTATGATTATGAAAAGGTAAATAATGAAGATTTTTTATGATGAAATTAAAACTACATTAGAATTAAATAAATAGAGAAAATTTAACTAAGAAAATTATTAAGCACGAGCAGCACAATCAATCATAATCCAATCACCTACATTAAATCTTCCTCGTCCACAAAATAAATCAGTTTTATTTAACTTTATCATTCTAATTTTATTATTTGTTTCTCAAATTATCATTCAAGAATTAAACACAAAAATTAAGTTATAGATTAATTGAGATCTCCTTTAACCCACAACCTAACAACTGTTCCATATTAGTCACACCAGAAGCAAAGCATGAATAATCACCCAAGCTAGGCCAAAATACTCTTACAATGCTATATCAATCGATTATAACAAGTAAAATCTCATATAAAATTTATAACCCAAAAATTATGCAATAAAGTTACTTTAATCAGCAACAGCAGTTAAAACATAAAATTCAGAGGTAGAGAGAAGAAGAGTAAATTGAAATAAAGCTAAAATAAAATCTTTCCTAAATATTAAAGACTCTTATTAAAGTTTAAGATCATGATTTATCATTGATCACGCTAAAAATTTAGCTCTCCATAAAACTAAAAACAAAATAGCAACGTCGCCATTGATTCTTTATTTTCTCTCATCCCCTTCATGCTATGCGTTGCTTCCTTTGCATATACAAAAGTGATGCGATTCCGTACAGCCAGAGAAAAGCTAATAATAAAATGATAAAACTACTCTAAGCAACCCTAATTGAAAACTACACTAAATAACTCAAAATAAATTTACACAAAATTTTAAAGATTTAGTTCTTGATTTGATCTCCAAGCATGTCTGTATTCTTCTTATCCAAAATAATTTTTATTGATATCTTTCAATGAATCTAAAAAATCTGCGCAAATAAAATAAAATTAAATAGTAATTGTGCACAAATATTAAAGCTGTCATTTATATTTTAAAATCATAAATTTAGATAGTTAAAATTCTAAAACTAAATATTAGCTAATAAAATCAAATAATATCTAATTAAACTCAATTAGTCTCAAATAAATTTTTAAAAGTCAAAATTAAAAGGATAAAAATGTATAAAATTGTCATTTATTAATGCATTTTCTACATTTTGAGAAAAAATATTTTGTTAATTCTTGGCCAAGATCTTGCTTTATTTTTTTTTTCTTTTACTTATTTGTACGGCTATCGGGGCTGAAGAAACATATGAAACCATTAACGAACCCTTCACACAAGCTGCCCAAATTGCATTGAGCTCTAGTCATGTTTGTTGTGTGTGTGTGTGTGTTTTTTTTTTTTAAATAATCAATAGAATGACAAAATAAAAAGAAATGGTCAAAGTATAGTTCCTATACAAGTCAAGGGGATGGTGGAATTAAAGAGTTCAGCATTGCTCGAAACTTCAAAAACAAATGAAAATGTTGTAAAAGGAACTAAAAGGTCATGTTCAATAGGTCTCATACGATAAGATATTCGCAGTCTTTTGAATTTCCTTAAATATACAGTCCATGTAGAAACTATTGGGCCAAGATTATAAGACTTGGCTGAAGCGGTGACACAAGAATTTTTGTCAATAAGATACTCTTAGTATTTTAGTGTGAACAATTCCTTAGAATTCTTTAATAATGACCAAAGATGGGAAAAGAACTTTCCCTTGATGGCAGGCGTCGTGTTGTTTCCTCTACTCTAAATAATCTTTGGCTTAAGTAATTACTACAATTTTATGTTATGCTGACTGAAATTTACCAGAAAAATCACGTTCTCCCGAGTGTGCTCTAATAGAATTTATTCAACCAGAAAATAACCTCTACAATTGTCAATAATGCAAAAAGTAATGAACTTTTTATGACTTTTTCCAACAAGTTTGTTTACTTTCATTTTTAATAAAAAATGTTAATTATTTAGCTGTAGGTATTCAAGAGATGCATGAGATTATTGAGAGACTCTTGGTTCAGCTTGCTCAAAGAAGAGTGAGCCCCATTGCAGTTAAAGATGGAGGTACCAATCTTATTATACAGTTTTCAAGTCGGTATAAATGATCTAAATTTTTTTATGTTCAATGAACCTTTATTTTAATATTCTTGGGCTAAATCAATAATCCAGATGTTAGGACTCATGGGACGTACAAGACAATAGAGAAGGCCCTAGTTCTAGTTGTTCCAAATGTTCTAAGCTCTTCTATGGTTAACAATGTAGGTATTGATTTTATTTTGCAACCTCGAAGTTGACATAAATTAATGACCACACGTACTTATGTTTCTTCCTTAGTAGCCAGGTTCTAATGCTGTACAGGTATTGCTCTCATGTATTTAGCTTGATTTATTTTATTTAGTGTGATGTTTAATACCTAATTAATTGTTATGATAATCTATTTAATTTCTTATTAATTGATGTTTCTAACTCTATGCTTTATGCATTAAAATATATTAGAAAAAAATTACATGACCAAAAAATGCTTCCCGGCGAGAATTTGACCAGTCAAACTATAAATTCTGCTGAAGTGAAAGTAGAGCAAGCAATGCAACTTTTTTATATTTTAGAATGAGGGCAATATTTTTATTATTTTTCCGAAACATGAGCAATCATACTTTCTGATTTCCATTGAACTTCTTTATGTATGTAGCTATGGATCCATCACTCTCGCTTTCTCTAGAAGCCTTGACTTCAACCCAAGATGCAGGTTCTGATCTTGTTTTTTAGTTTCTAGTTAATTTGCATGAATGGTCTAATATTTTTTTTTTTTATGTTTTATGACCTTTGGACTTAATACTCTTTGGATAAATTATTGACTATAACTTTTCAATCATGAGCGAGCTAAATTTTAATAGAAAAGGCATGATAATTTATTTATTCAAGCCACAACATCAATGATTATTAATTTTTGTTTTGCGAATTGTAATGTATTAGATGAATAACAAAACATGGAAATTCGTTCAAGTGAAAATTTCCATGTCCAGACCGCAACATTAATTGCGGATAACGACAAAGAAAGTAATATTTCTTCTAGCTTCTTAAAAGAATTAAGTTTATTTATTTGTTTTTGCAAAACCTGTGTTATTCTATTTTTTTCCCCTAAAATTATGAACTTTGTTGTCCAGCTATTGGGACTAAAGAGATGCGAGAGAGCATCCAAAGGCTTTTTGTTCAAACTACTGTAGACACATTAAGCCCTGCCTTGGGTATATTTCTAACGTTTCAACTTTGTTTTAGCTCCGTTTGCTTTATTTAGTGATGTTTAATATATATCTCATTAATTAATTTGTAAATCTCCTTTATATCAATTTATAATATTTCTAATTTATAATATTTCTCATTAGTTTGAAGGCTCAATTTATTTTCAAAATCCTCCCAAAATGATGCCCTAGTAGTGCCAAAGCTTGCCCCTTCGTGTTCTAAGTTTCCCACCATAAAAACTATCATTTTTTTATGATTTTCAAAAATTAAAGTTACCTATTGTGCTGTGTCGTAGCACACGCCATACAAGCCGCAGCTTATGACGCAGCAAAATGTCAATTTTTCTCCCCCTTGATGCCACCTGACTTAATCCGACTTCTATCCTAACTCAATTTAGAGCCAAATATGATCCAAAAAGCCAATTAGTAACCCAAAAACTAATTAAATTAATTAACCATCTTTTTTAACTAATTTATCCCTCAATTAGTCAATTTTTCTATATTTGAAGTTTTCAGATGTTACAATAGGGATTGTCGCTTACCTTTAAAATTAAACTAAAACTAACTCTCATGCAATATAGAGCCAAACCTAGGTCATCTCCCAAGGAATGGTTTTAAGTCTAATTTAAAGCTATCTAGTGAAATAAATCACCCAAAGTTTAAAGTTGATTAACTAAGTGCTAACCTAATTGTTTAGTGAATTAAACTAGAAAACTAATCTTAATTGTGAATGAAGTGGCTTCCCTATTTAAGTAGGAACCTTAGGGTGTTGCTAATGGAAGAATCTTTATTCTTAATCAAGCATGGCAGCTCACTCAACTTCTCTTTATTGGTTTAAAAATGAGTTTACCTAAGACAACTATCTCAAATACCTTAGCTTCACTAATTCAATTGCCTAAGTGCTATTAAAAGCCCCCTAAGTAACCTTACTAGCTTAGCTCTAAAATTAACCAAGTGTTTAGTTAAAATTCATTCCCAAATGCTATTGCCCAAAGCTGTACCTAAGTTCAAAACTATGAAAACTCAAGTAACTCATCAAGTATTCACTATACAATTAAATGCTAGGCTAATGCAAGACATTCACCCAGAAATCACATATTACCATGCAAATTCATAGAATGGATGAAATTACAGCAGCAACAAGAGCATGAAATTCAACTAAAGAATTTTGTTTCAACATTACAAATTATAAAGAACTATGAAACTGAAGTCAAATTGAACCACAATCAATAATAGTCATAGTATTCTAAGGGAATTGAAACAAGATGAATAAATAGTTAAGCTTAGCCAAGTAAAGGCTTCAAAACTCCTCTTCCATCAACTCTCCCCTAGGATTTCATGAAGAATCTAGCTAGAAAACATCAAGAAAATCTTGCTTGCTCCATGAACACCACATGGCCGAGAGGTATGCTCTATAGTCTTAGTGAATTGAGCTTCAATTCTTCCTCTAGATGCTTGGGGTGAGTTTGGCCATGATAGGGGAAGAGAATGGTGGAATATTTGAGTGAATTTGATGGATAAATGGTGGAATAATAGGGGCTGGATCACTGGAAGTAGAGAGAAAAAATGGAGAAAATGAAGAACACTAAGAACAAGAGAGAGAAAATGTGGAAGATGAATGAGATCATGATTGAATCTCCTTTGGGACTCAAAATGGCATGAAAAAGTGGTTTCCCCTTAGCTGATTACTCAATTAAAAAAATAAGAAAATAAAATATGTCGCACTCAGAAAAATGCTACGCGGACGGCGTGCGAGCAAAGGGGGCCTTCGCGGCGAGAACTGGATCAAACGAGGAGTCGCCACCAAGATTTTGAAGTAAATCTTGGGAAACCAATTAAAAGGAGGATAAGGGTGGTCTGCGAAATCAGAGAATGGGTTCGGAAGTCGGTTGAGTGTGGGGAAAGTGTTAGGCACCCCATAACACCCGTTTATATTAATATGGTTTTATAATTATTTTAATTATCCCTTTTATATTCATGTGTTTGATATAAAAATGATGATAATTGAGTGAGAAATATTTATTTATTTATGAGGGAGGACAGACTTGATTCAAAATCTGACTCTGAGGCCTACGTACCCTGTGATGGGGATCAAAGTCCACATAGTTTGGGCTTAAAAGTTGTGGGTGAAAATATTTTTTTGAAAAGAAATTAATTAAAAATAATTCACCATTTTGCAAATAAAACAATTTCTGAAATTTTGATATGTGTGTTTTAAATTGTAAAAGGTAATTTAATTTTAATTATTTTCTTCATTTTTGAATTTTGGAATTAAAGAAAAGAAAAGGGTTTAAAATTATTATTTTTATATTTTGCGATTGGGAATTTAATTACAGTACCTATAGAACCTTATTGGTTCATATGGTAATGCAATTGCTCTAAATATCTACGGAGATTCCAAAATCTCACACGAGCAAAGAGTTTGGCAATTTAATTTATTTACTTATATTCTTATGTACATTTTTTTAAGTGTTAATAATAATTTTTAGTGTGTATATTCATGTTTTGAAGAATTTTAATCATCATACCTGCAAAGCCTTATTGGCTTATACGGTAATATGATTATCCTAAATATCTGCAAAGATTCTAAAATCGTACACAATAAATGAATTAAATTTAAATACATTTTTAATGTGATTATTTTAATACATAATTTATATATATATGTATATATTAAAAATTTAATCATTATATCTGTAGAGTCTTATTGACTCATACGATAATACGATGATCTTAGAAGCCTATGAAGATTCAAAAATCTCACATTACTAAGACATAATCGGTAAATGTGGTTACAATTTAAACACATTAATTTGGTTAATTAATTTTTTAAATTGTGTATTATATGATTATTTACAAAATCATTTATTTATTATAAAAATTGAGAATCACTATATATGTGAGGATATATTATTCCACACGATAATGTGATTAATTTAAGTCCCTATGAAAATTCTTAAAATCTCACATGGAACTTAAATGGATTATTTAGATTATAAGAAGATAGTTAGTTTTAACGGTTGGTCATTGAAACCATTGATTATACATATAAATTTGATCTCTATACCTACGAAATCTTATTGATTTACACGGTATGAGATTGCTTCAAATTTTTAAAATCTCACACAGCAAGTTAATAAAATAAAAGAAATCTTCTCTTATTCATTTGTTTTTTTAGATGAGAATCGAATTCTCTCCTCTCAATCTTTTATACAATTGTACATGTTGATAGAAAGTGCCATATGGCACGAATGTAACAATATTATTGACAAGTAAAGGACTTTAGGATTAATGGAGATAAAAAATCATGCCCATACATATTACTATGTCCTTTTATGCTAGAAATATATTTAAAACCTAATTCCAAAATTTTGCCCAATGACCACACAATTTTTTTTTTGTTTGAGAAAAAAGCTGTAATGAGAATATGCCCATAATTATGTCAAGCTAGCAAGCAAAATTTTATTTATAATCTCTTCATCCCTTTTCTTCACTTTTCTTTTCAAACAACAATCATTTTATTTATTTATTTATTATTATTTTTATTATTTTGTCATAAACACTACAAGTCCATACCAAAATTTGTTCATGGCAGCAAGTCCAACTTCCATATGAAGTCTCTCCTTCTTACTTTAAAGAAATGTTATGAATATGAAAAGGCTAAATAAATGATTAATTTTAATGAAACTAAACCGGATATGCTTCCGTTACTATCTTTCTTGAACTCTCTCTTCTCTGTCACTATTCTTTCTTTCTTTACCTCTACTTTCTTGTTCAGTTTTGAGTTCTCTCCTTCTCGCCTCAGTTTCGGTCTTTTCATCACCTCCTTTCAACCTCTCCTTTTTTTCGTTCGTGTTCTCTACTGATTTATACTCTATTTTTTTTCAGCTTTTCTGTCACTGTCTTTAACTGAGTGTGCTTGCTGCTTTGCTTCTTCTTTTTTTTT